AAGGTCACTATAAATCAGAATCGACTCACTGGCAGTGGATTTGGTTTTTATTGTATGATACAATTTTCCGTGCTAATTTACTGAAAGTCATAGTTTCCAATTTAATAATGTCTATTTGGAATTCATATCAGCTGGCAATTGGATCTAATTACTCATATTCTACAGTGTATATAAAACTTACCACAAAACCATTACACCAGAAGTGTCCCAAGTTACAAAGCAGTCTTTTGAATCCTCTTCAGAAGCTTTAGGAAATCTTTTCTAGGCTCTGCCTGGTACTTTAATCTCCCCACCCCCACCCCTTATTTGAAGTTTGCTTTTCTACCTGCTTAGTGAGGTACAAAGCAGAGAGAAAAGCTGTATTTTGTATTTCCAGTGTTTTCTCGAGGTTCCAGTACAAATAGTTAACACACATGATTGCTAACCAAAAATTAATAGTTTGAGTCCATCCAGAGGAGCACCAGAAGAAAGGCCTGGTGATTCATTTCTCAATAATTATAACCATTGAGAACCCTGTGGAGCACAGTTCTACTCTAACCCACCTGAGGTTGTCACGAGTCGAAATGGACTCAGTGGTAACCAGTTCCATTTGACTAGAAATGATAATATGGTAGCCTGGATTAATTGGGGCTTCCTAAAAAATCAGATGAGCATGCACAACACATTTAACATTGCCAACTTGAGAGAACATCAACGGCTTCTTGGTTTTCTCCTGCATGCACTCCTTTCCTGCAATCCTGAAGCGCCGCCCTCACCACCCAGCTGTTCCAGAAAAAAGTGTAAGCTGACAAGACAGTCGTTGTTTCCTCCATTCTCTCTTCCTTAATTAGGACAGGGAAATAAGCATCTTGCCACTGCATTAAATTCCCAGCTTCTGTTTTCTAACGAGCGGCAAAAGAACAGTTTGTTATTGCAACTAAATCTCCCGCCACCAGCAGATTTTCCAACTTCCATCCTGTGTGTCACTACCTCAGTGTAAGTATCAAGACCACCCAGGGGACCTAAGCAGGACAGCAAAGAAAATACCACTGGGTGCCCCTAACCATCATCTTTTTTGATTCGAGCAGAGTCTCCAGGTGGTACAAATGGTTAGTATACTTGATTGCTAACTGCGAATGAATGGTTTGAGTCCATTCAGGGGAGCCTGAGAAGAAAGTCCTGGTGATCCATTTCACAATAATCATAGCCATTGACAACCCTGTGGAACCCAGTTCTACTCTGACCCCCACCTAAAGTTGTCACAAGTTGAAACTGACTCAATGGCAACCAGTTCCATTTGACTAGAAATGATAATACGGTCAAGTGATGGCTGGTGTGGAGCTTCCTGTTAAGGAAACCTTTTCCAGAGTCCTTTGGAATTAAAGCTGACCTAAGCTTACCAGCCACCACTCGTCTGTCAGTCTGTTGTACTGTGGTGGCTTGTCAGTTGCTGTGATTCTGAAAGCTATGCCACCAGTATTTTAAATACCAGCAGGGTCACCCATGGTAGACAGCTTTCAAATGAGCTTCCAGACGAAGACAGATTAGGAAGAAGGAGTGATAAAGTACTTCCGAATATTTAGTCACTGAAAACCTTATGTATAGCAGAGAAACACTGTCAGATATAGTGCCGGAAAATGTGCCCCTCAGGTTGCAAAGCACTCAAAATGCGACTGATGAAGAGCTGCCGCCTCAAAGTAGAGTTGACCGTGATGACGCGAATGGACTAAAGCCGGTGGGAGAAAAACCTGCAGGACCCTCATTTGCTGATGGGGCACAACTCAAAATGAAGAGAAACACCTGTAATATCTATTGAAAATTGGAACATGGAATGTATGAAGTATGAATGAATCTTGGAAAATTAAAAGTTGTCAAAAATGAAATGGAACGCATAAACATCGATATCTTAGGCATTAGTGAGCTGAGATGGACTGGTATTGGCCATTTTGAATCTGATGACCAGATGGTTTACTATGCTGGAAATGACAAATTGAAGAGGAATGGCGTTGCATTCATTGTCCAAAAGAACATATCCAGATCAGTCATGAGGTACAACCCTGTCTGTGATAGGATAATATCCATGTGCCTACAGGGAAGCCCAGTTAATACCACTATTAATCAAATGTATGCACCAACCACTAAAGCTAGTGAGGATGAAATAGAAGAATTCTACCAACTTCTTAAATCTGAAATTGATCAAACATGCAATCCAGATGTATTGAACATTACTGGTGATTGGAATGCAAAGGTTAGGAGCAAAGAGGGAGGATCAGTAGTTGGAAAATATGGCCCTGGTGATAGAAATGATGCTGGAGAACGCATGATAGGATTCTGCAAAATCAATGATTTGTTCATTTCAAATACCTTCCTTAGACAGCATAAGAGACGACTATACACATCCCTCCCCAGATGGAATGCATAGAAATCAAATTGACTACATCTATGGAAAGAGATGATGGAAAAGCTCTATATTATCAGTCAAAACAAGGCCAGGGGCAGACTGTGGAACAGACCATCAATTACTCA